TATGCGGTTACGCCGTAGTCGTAAGCATACTTACCCAAGTATCTGTGCCTATGTGTACCTCGTACTCGTACGAGAGCGCGCGTAATAAGCATTTTATACTTAACGAACGCTCGTAAAATAGCGTGAAACGGATGTACTGGCTGTTACTATTTGCGCACTGTTCCGTCGAAATATTATTGTACGCACATATATTTACCTAGTACCTACCACCTAAATTATACAGTTTTTCGATGAAATAATAATATTATTCAACGCGCAGACATACTCTTTCGTCCAGATATGACTATACTCGCCTGTTCACACATCTTCCATTCACGTGTTATACCTAACTTATGAGTTGTGTGTTTACTACTTGTGTCCTAGACAATTTCACGCGATCGTCAGTACCAGCGTCGCAGACGAATAACCGACTTCGCGGTCGTGGCGCGTATTTTAGTATAATTCAGATACACGCGTCCGCGTATATTATTATTTCATAATAATTGCATGCGTGTAATAAAATCTTCGTTGAAATTAGAAACAAAAGGTATACCGCTGAAATGCAGTGTGGAAATAGTCGGAAATATTAGATGAAAACAATCTTTGATTTAGGTCGTTCGTAATCTAGCCCGATTGTCGTTTTAATTAGCATATAAAGTACTATAATATTATTATAGCGTTATACGCACAATTCTTATGTATTTAATTTAATATTATATCATGTATGTTATCTACACTCCATTCTATATTTGTCGTTTTCGCACGTAGTACTACCAGACTGTAAAAAAAAAATATGTGCAGTATTCACAAGCGACAAAAATTATACTTATCTATTGCCAACTCGACGTTGTCTTATTACGGCTATTAAAGAAAAAAACATCTAGAAGATTAAATGTACAGTATTACATTTTTGAACAACTGTGAGACAAGTTGAAAAATAGTTGCAAATATTTATAACAAGTTCATGTGACAAACGAAAAAATTATAAAGCTATTTTAATTTTCTCTTACAGTTACTCAAGTACTGAAAATGTATTATATCTATTCATGTCGCAATACGAAACGTTATCCAAACTATTTATATTAGCTTTCTTTTCGGCGTTTATAAAGTTATAACAGCCACCATTTTTTTAAAACTTTCTATTAATATTATTTACCTGTCCATGAACCATTGATTATTGAGTACCCATATTATGTTATGTTCATATTTGCACCAAGTTAGGTGTATTGTCTAAATAGGTACTGGATAAAACGTAACAGTGTTAACAAATTTACACACATACTGTGTCCAAATATTTAATATTGACTTTATTAATTTCGAAGTTGGTTGTTATTTTTTTTTTTTACCGATCATTCAGATGGTTTGAATATTGTTAGTACATAAATATACTAATGAAAAGTGATTAGAACTTTACAAAGAAATACAGAATAAACAAATACTATATTATAAATGTAATGTTGATTATTATTTGTTAAAAAAAAAATATTTAACAAAATATGTTGTGTTATTAACACATATTTAGTTATAATTATTAACGTATTTATTACAATTCAAACATTTTACTAGTATTTATTTAATTATATATTACGCATCCTTAATAATAATCAGTAGCGATATATACATTTTTTAAGTAAATTAATAATATACATGCTAAATCATAATTAAAAACCTATATTATTTAACGTATTTCATAAAATTTCTAAAATGAATATCGCTAAGTATAGGAATTGAAAATGCCAGAAAATTAAAGTGTATTAATTTAACTCTTATGAATTTAAAGCTAACCTAATATACTAATTAATGTAGAAACCAGTATAAAAAACACAAGTTTGTAAACTTAATATTATATTTTATAAATAATACATTATTTATCATAATAAATTTGTTTTAATAATAGCTTAATAATTTGTTATTATTATTATACTCTCATTAAATATTGTCTGTTATTAGTAGTTTTCACACGTATAACATAATTTAAATATTTTACAAATATGTTTTAGGTTCAACAAACTTTAGCTACACCTTACATGTTACATAGTTACAATATTCTACAACAAAACATGACTCTTCTAACAATGTGAAAAATAATAAATAATACAAAGATGAAACTTTTTCCTCTAAGTGTGCAATACATACTTTAAAAACAAACATACTTTATAAATACAATATACTTATAGTCAGTAGTCACTCATAATATTTGTTCACAAATCATTTAAGTAGGTAAAGATTTACTTAACAGTTAACACCAAACCTGAATAGAATGGTTTGTAAAACAAGCTATTATTTATTTTTTTTTTTTTTATTATTATTATGTACTACAGGGATCATAATATTTACAGTTGCCATGGATTAAAGTATTATAAAGATAACATTTATTATTTTTATTATTTAAGATTTGCATACAGACATTATGAATTATAACAAATAAATTTGAAAATATAAACATAAATATAGTTTTGTAGTGATCAGTATAATACTATATGTTAATGATTATAACGTTGTAATTACGATAACATTTGTGCATAAACGTTGGTTGCCGTCCAAACAATGTAAGAGTATTAAAAATAAATTGAATGAACAGTAATTTGTTGTATTAAAACAATAAACAAATATTAAAATTTACAATGTAATAATTAAAACAAAATAAAAAGACTGTCAAATAACTAAGTTACTGCTCTGCTATACAGTAGGTGTCGAACTTTTTCATAATCAACGTTACCAAACAATTAATTTAATAATGATATTAAAATTTTAACATACTGTTACAAACTTTAACATTATTCATATTTTTTTCACCAAAATATAATCTAGATCCTCTATTAGTTACCAAAAATCACCCTGAAAATTACAAATCGATTAACTATGAATTTACTAATATAGTAATGTAAGATATAGAATGTTTATGTTAAATTTTTAATAGTACAAAATTTGTACCTATTACACTACTGACAGTTAGGTATTTTAATAAAACAATATATTTTTATCGAGTACCTATTTCACATTGAAAGCTACAAAAAAAAAATCAATTCCTATTTAAGTAAAACCTAATACTGAGTACAATAAACTATTATTAAAACCTTTATTACTAGTATAATTTAATATAAATACCTCTTTCCAAGTTGTTCGAAAATCGTATTAGAACATTTTTTTTTTTTAGAAACCGGAAAATTTCTAACGCTAATACATAATGCACTATTCTTCTTTTGTTATTACTATGTAAAATAATTTAATTTAAAAACTCTTCAAAATTCATAAGTTGTAACTCACAATACGTGATGCATGAAAAAAAAGGTTATTGAATAATGAGTGCAAACAGCGATCTTTTTTTCGAGATCGTATTTATGAAACATCTCTATATACCAATTATACGTATTTTAATTTAATATTCGTGTATTTTTAGCAATAGACCCTTTCGATTGGATAATTAATAATACATATTTAAATTTCTAAAATAAAAATACTGTAAAGAATTCAGAAGCCATATTTTGGCTCACTTTATTGTATATCGTAACAAAATAGACTAAGAAACCTATTACTATAGGTATACCTATTGTCAAAATGTTGTGATCACAAGTGAACTCTTTAAAGTTTAAAGCAATTTTAGTATAATAAGTCATAAAGTCCTCGTATTCGATAAAACGATTTAAAACGAAATATCTATAGTGAATTAGATATTCATGAGGGCTCATATAATACGGCATAGATATATTAACATTATTAACAGTTTTATAGTCGGCTATTCCTTACGCTCATTGAACTACAAAATAAATGACATCTAATATCGATCTTATGAACTTCCAGAAAAGTTATTGATACAGCTACTTGAAACTTTCAAAACACCTCTTCTATCCTAAATTGTGCGGCTACAAAAATAAGAACCACTAAAACTATGTAGGCATCCATCTCAACCCTAGTTTCCTAGGAATTTAAAATATAAGTATAAAATGGTATAGTTTTACAAAATCCACAATTTTTTTTTTTTTTTAATTTCATTGCATCGTTGCTAAAGTGCCAGTATCAACTAGGGTAGTAAGGTCCAATTATACGTTCAAGAAACTTGCGGTTTTTTAATAGTAACTTGTAAAGAATATCTTTTCAAAAATAACACAACAAATATTTGAATAATATTTTTTACAATTAATGTTCAATACCATTAATTTTAATTTCTCTTTTAAGAATTAACATTACTTCTGATTTGCTTAACAATTCACGGAAACAAAATTAATTTGTTTTATAAATAATAACATACTATTACTATCATAAAGTATTTTCCATATCAATAAAAATACAAAAAACATATCTAATATACTTATTTGATTAGTTTACTTAAAATAAATTGAACGTGATTCAAAATGTATTCAAGTACAAACAAAAATTTATAATACTTTACAGGAATATAAGATACGAATGCTGTAACATTTTCTCACATAACTGTTTAACGTGATAATGTATTAATTTAACATACCTATTGTATAACCATTACTGTTATATTATGTAATGTAAATTTGAAGGTTTTCTTGTGGTATATCTACATCCTAATATTTCCTTGTTACGAGTATACATTTCCTCGGTTGATTGATTTTTATATATCTACACTTCTAAATATAAGGAAAAAACGTTAGATTATTAACATATATATATATTTATATCGGTTTAATTAATAACTCAAATTAAAATTGAATATTTAAATATTAAAGATTAATCTCTATAATATTTTACCTACATGCTTAAAATGTTCAAGTCAAATTTAATTTATTTCAATAGGCGCATTGTATTACAAAAAGATTCTTTATTTAAATTATTATATCAACTGCACAACTTGAATGAACATTTTAGTCGTACAACTTACGACGGCACAATAAATGATCTAATTTTAATTTTAACTGTATATTATATTTGTGAGAATTAATGTTATCTGTTATTGAAATGTTTAGCAAAATATTTGAATTGCTCTATGAATTTTTTAATATACTCATAATTGTGGTTAATTTTATAATTCCATTATTTATCATGTGTTGCAGCCGAAATCGGGACTTCAGGAATCGATCGTGGTTATTTTGGACCATGGCAAATGTGCAAACAATCGTACTATGGACGAACGAAATGTGGAGACTCTATATCCAGATTTCATCCTGTGGGTAAGTCATCACGTTCACATTGTATTTCAACGGTTTCCGCTAAGATGCGTGGGAGCCTCTATATGTGAATTTCCGGTTAATTATAATAATATTCTCGTTTGGTGTTTTTTGATAGAAACGGTGAAGGTAGCCGGATATTTTGCCATAGCGGGCACACTGAGTTTGGCCGTATTTTGCATCCTGAGCATAGTGCAATTAGCCATGGTGGTATCAAAGGAAAAAGTCGTATTTGCCTATAGCAAGACCGTGGTTACCAAATTGGTGTTTGCATTCGCAGCAAGTAAATATATTATCCATACGTTAAATCTTAAAGATAATTTATACCATAATACTACAACAAACCTATTATGCGCATACACGAATGAAATGTCTAACTTGATGACTTTACTTTTTGTATATAGCTCTGCTGGCAATCATCGCGGCCGGGTTATTCGCTCTTCAAACCGACGACAAAGACAATAGCTACCAAGTGACCCGAGGGGAATCGTTTTATATGCAGGTGAATAAGACAAATTATTTTCCTATTCTCCACTCTTGAAATATTTAAGTTATCTGTTATGCATGTGCACCTAATTAGTAAGTGAATTAAAAAAAAAAAAAAAAAAAAAAAAAATTTACAACACAAAAATATTTTTATTTTATAAGATACCTATAATGTATTTTAATAATTTACAATGTAATCCATAACATGATACAATTATAATATGTAATTATACTATAATATTAAAGATAGATTGGTATCTATTCGTTTACATATTATTAAATAAAAATCTCATATTAGATTAAAATATTAAAAATAAATTGCTTTCATAGGTAATGTACTAACGATAAATATCCTACATTATAATATAATTATATTTATGAAATAAGTTTTTTTACCTTTTTTTTTTACAAAATATAATTCAAAATGAATAAATTGTACTTTTTTTAAAATAATTGTGAAATACTAACAAAAACACCGAAAATAGGTATATTTATGTTACCCCAGTTTTAACAAAATCAATTTTAATTTTTTATTCAATACAAAAAAATTATAATACTTGATATTTTCATATAAAATAGGTATAAAATAATTTTTATCTGAAAAGTGCAGATGATTTAATGTTAAAAATGTTCATCAAATTATTTTTACATTATTCATATTCAATGATTTACGATTTATTATTAAATTAAAATTTATCATAATATAATATAATGTGCTAATATTATTTATTATTTCAATTTGATGACTAATTCAATGACGAGGTACACTAGTAAAGCGGAACTATACCTGAAGCACCTACGCAGTCACTTATTCAATAATAATTTTGATTAAAACTAATATCAAGTTTTTCAAAACAGTGCGTCATTATAATATCAAATTATAATAAAATAAAAAAAAAGATTTAACCTACTTTTAAAATCCTCTCCTTCAAAGTATTAAATCAACTTAAAATTTAAATATTTAAATTTTAATAAAAATCACATAATATTTATTTATTTTAATGTTATTAGAACTGATTAAAATATCATTATTGTGTTAAGTAAAAATTAAAATACATAAAATAATTTATAATTTTATTGTGTATTGTTTTTCTAAAAACGTTTTTCATGGACAATCTGTTCTATTTGTATCTTTTAAAATAAAGAACACGATTTCTTTTCAAGCATAATATTTGGTTATACACGCACTTGTATCTTGTACCTACTACATAATTTAATATTGTACACGCCAAATTGTATTCTTGAACTAATGTATTTTTCAAATGTATATACTACTGGTTCTTTTATCTTTTGTTAAACGTTAATAATGAACCAGTTTAAACCAGTATAATATTATAAAGTGTACTAACATACTTACATACGTATTTAATATATTATGGTAGTATATTATTAAATATACTCTTATGAATACTATAAATGCATTTTGTTTAGTAAAAAACATATGGATTATCAAAATGATTCTTTGTTAAAACTTGTTGTTATAAGTATAAATGGTACAATAGTATAACAATATATTAAACTATCATTATAATTAACAAACAATTTTCTTACTCAACAGATTGGCTTAATTATATTGAACTTTTTACTATTCGTGGCTGCAATATATGATTTAATATTTTCCCGTCGCTTGGGCGGTGATCCGACCATCAGTAACCGTGATCCATCTGGTGTCGAAGCTACTACATTCAATAATCCTGCCTTTAAGGAGAAGAGGTCAATGAATCCAAGTGAGTTAATAATAATAACAAAACATAAACACATCATAAAACATACTTTGACTAATGGTGTTTTAATTTTTAAATTTTTAACTATAAATATTAAAATGTAGTTATAAGTTATATAAGGATCTGAATCCTGGATCTATACTCATTATTTCGGTTAATTACTGTAAAAAAAGTACATTCCTAAAATCTACTTATATTACTGTATTAAATTAAATTATCTCTTTTTACAATTGTATTAAAAAATAATTTATATAAATTATAATAATTTATTGTAAAGTTCTGTTAACGAGAACAAGAATATGTACAATTTTAAATCTATATTTTTAGAAGTGGACTGGTACATCAATGATTTATATCAGTACTCTTAGTCAACTAAGCATTTAATACTTGTTAAGTAAAAAATAATATAATTAATTCAATATTTCTTACAACATGTACATTTACGCTGAAATTCTCAAATGATTGTTTAGAATTTTAGATTGTAGTCATACGAGTAGATGGAATTAAAAATATACCTAGGTGGCAGTCTTTAAGAAAATTAAAAAACTAAAATTATCATCATTCCAAAAAAACGTAAAAAAAATGTTGTTAAAAACACAGTACTTTGAAAATGTTAAATGTAATTTATTGAACTGGTTTGTAAGTTCTTAAATAGTCAAGTTGACCAATGACCCATTGGTTTGTAGTGTTTATACATCATCTAAAACAATGTACTAAGTGTTATCTCTGAACAGTTGTATATTATATATAATATATTTTCAGGAGGTGGAGGAGGAGTTGGCGTCGGTGGCAGTGGTAAAATATCGGTGACAGACGCCAGCGGAAAGCCGTACTTGAGCGGCACGACCAACGGCAGTACGATGTCGATGACCACTACCCTTAGCTCAAATGGTTCGTCGATAACACCAGTGATCCGCAGCCCATTGCGGTCGAGTCTAAAGAAGCCACGGTCGGCTAACGGAAACGGGACCGGAGGAAGCGTTGGCGGTCTGGGCATACAAAATCCCGGTTTCAGCGGCACGTCGCCGACTCTGTCCCGGAACGGGAGCGTGAAAAAAGTTCGGATACAGACCCAGAGTACGGCCGTGTAAGACCGAGAAATCGATACGCATCGACTTGACGGAATAAAATATTAATACATAAGTAGTCCAAAAACGAAGGAAAAACATATTCTGGCGAATATTTCTTACAACGATTCTCGTTATCGTTGGCATACAGAGAACTCGCGGGATGGTTTTGACTTTCGAGGGTTGTACTCACATCATACCAATCACTGTATAATTATAATATAATATAGTTGTATACGTCTTGTGATTTAATTATACATATTATACGTATAATACATTATACAATATGTAAGATACTAATCACAATAATATCAAAACGACGAGGCAACATTGTTAACAGTTGTATTGCAGTGATAAACGCGATGCGCATATCAATATTATTTTAAGACATTGTTTACGAGGGTAAAATATAATATTATATGGCAACGAGCGTCTAGTTGACGTACGCGCGCACACACTATTATTATTATTTTATTTTTTAAGATACGTCATATTTTACGCGCACCCGTTTCATCATCATCATTATTATTATTATTATTGTTATTATTTTATTTTTCGTTTCGTTTGGAATTTAGTTGTTATTTAATCAAAATTTTTTATTATTTTTACGCATTTAATATATTTATTTTATAGTATTGTGCCAATGTTGGTTCAACGAACGTGTACTGTAGTATATAATATTAAATAGAAAATAATAATTTAAAAATTAAATAGTTTTTTTCACTTATCCTTCTAGAATAGCGCCGTGTTATTGAAATTTACGGCAAAGCTTAATACATTATTTGTTTATTCTCCATTGCTTGCATCGAAATACCTTTGTTTTCATCGGCGAAGATCATAATATTCATTATTCGTTCATTTTCATTATTAAAACGATTATTTTAAAATTCAGTTATTATACATTGTATTTTGTTTGATTGAAAATTTGAGTTCACCATATTATGTGTATAATTCAAAAATTTAAAACATAATATTTTAGGATATTGTTCGTTAATTTTTATCTAATATAATCGTTAAATTCACTATATTTAGTGTGCCATCCGGAAAATTCGTTAAAAAAACTTGTTTGTACTCGGCATTTTTTTATTTCGTGAATGTACACAAAACAAATTGCACACAATATATAATACGTATTACGTTATTTCCTACGTATAAATATTGTATAATAGTAACAATAATAATAATAACAAAATATAATATACCTATTATTCATAATTTCTTTTATTGAGCATAAAAATTCAAATGCATCCAAGTACCTAGTAGTTTTTTTGTATGTAATTCAGTAAGTTAATTTCGCGATTCAATTATCAGATTCATATAGTATATCAATAATAATTCATCATAATTTAAATAAAAATACATGGATCTCGCATAGTGAAGTATTTTTATTATTTTTATTTTTTGTTAACATTGTGTACAATCAAAAAAAAAAAAAAAACAAACAAACAAACTAAAAATTATAGTAAATAAATAATAAAAATGTTACCTTGACACCAAAATTTGTTCAAAATAAAACTGACACTGTTATGTTTTATAAAAACATACTTCTAACAATTTTATAAATTGTATTGTTCACATAATATTTTTTTACAATTTATAATTGTAGTTATGTTGTGCACAAATTATATAAAAATATTTTTTTATCTTTTTTTTTTTTTTAAGTCTTAACCTTATCCAAAGCAAATTTTTAAGTGTCATATTTGCTAAGTTCTAATAATGTATTTAATATATTTATTGTAGTAAGTATCTAATATGATATCCAATTTAGTAATATAAGATAGCAGCTATTATATTTTTGTAGTTATATTATAATGTACAGAGTAATACTATGTATATATATACATATGTAATATTATATTTATGTATTTTTTTTTTTTTTTTACCAAAAGCACTATAATTGTGTATTAAAACATATAAATTATATGCACACACACATATATAATACATACTTTTATTATATCAATGAATCATTCAATTAAAAATCAAGTGCACTTGCATGTCTATCACTATATTTAAGAAATTTTTGAATTGTTATGAAAATGCTATGAATCTTTGTTTTTTTTTATTGCAGCTGCTTTATTATTACTTTAGATTAAGTTATTTAGTCGTTTATATAACAGGTAATATATTGTATAAAAATTGTTTTTGAATTACACATGAACAAATTTTGAAAATTATATAAAGATCTATTTAGGTATTTTATAAACCAAATAACCATCACTTTAATGAACTATATTTAGCAAGACAAATGATAAATATGAACATTAAAATGCATGTATGCTTACATCAAATGTATGTTTAAACAACAATTTAATTTTATAACCATAGTTATAAAGTATTCATAAGTTAGTTTGGTCAGAGTTAGTATTGTTAATAAATTGTATAAGAAATTTGAATAATTTAATTAGTCAGGTGTGTGTTATGTTCAAATACTCAGAACAATATTTAATAATTATCACAGTAGCCAATAATACATACTGACATACTTATTAATTATTCTAACTTTTTATACTCTGACTAATATATTAATGGATTATTTTTGATAAAAATGAACCTATGTATTTGTATTTTATTATATAAGAATAATTTTATATTTAACCAAATGTATACCGTCCAAGTATGAGAAATTTTAAAATTAGAAGTTCTGTGATCTGTTTTCAGAGTAATTTTGAACGTGCAATAAATTTGTTGATTGAATATTTTATAAAATTATTTTACAATATTGTTGTCCATATAATAAATAGATTATTAATTAAGTTTTAAGTTTTTTTTTTTTTTTTTTATTGTTACAATTACAATTTATTTTTTCTAATTACAAATTTTATTTGATGATATTAATAATTTGAGTAATTTAAATTACTTAAAGACATACTAATTGTTTTGAATTCATTATTTATTATAGTTCAAATGTATTATAAACTGTTATTTATACATTATATTATTTATTATAATATTTTAATATACTAATATTGTACACTGATATGTACAATATCAACTACATATTGTCGGAGAAATAAAATATAAATGATTTAATTTTTGTCCATATGAATTCATACAAATATACATATTTTACCATATTTTATCATTACTGGCTTTAAATTTACCCTATGTCTATTTTTTGGTGACAATATTTTACAAAAAGTGGTTTACTAATGAATATGGTAATAGACATATATAATAAATAAAAATTAGTAAATGCTAAATAAATTATATAGATCATATTATAATTTTTCATTTCTTGAAACAAATATATTTTTACAGTGTTCAAAACATTTTAAATACATGAAATTGTTGCATTTTTATGTGGAAACTAGAATCAAAACTAATTTATTATATTTTATTAATAATATTAACTATTATTGTTATAAGTTATTTAATAACTCTTTTTAGATTTTGAGAGAAGCAATGGAAAGAATAATATGATTTAAAATTTATACAATTATTTACATGAAAAAATGATAGCTAATGATTGAAAATTTAATAAAAGGTTCCTCGTAAGTTATTCTAGCAGAAATCTAAAAATTTCAAAAATACAAATGTACAATTTTTTTGCAGACATTTGAAAATTATAGATAAGTTATTATATTTTTGGTATATAAATAATTACATTTCAATTAGTTATTCCTAGTTTATTTTCTATGAATATTATGAATCTATTACTTTTTTATCTTATTCACACACAATTTAACAATATGTTGGTATTGACTATTGAATCTAAAGTTAATAACAATTTTTTTAGAAAAAATTAATTCAACCTACTATATAGTAAAATTGTAAAATAGTAAATAATAAAATATACTTAATACTATAATAGGCTGATAGCCTCTCTTGTTCCATATAACACTAAAAAATAACATATTATACATGTATTATTTTTATATAAGCTTAATATAATCAATGATATTAAATGTTTAATAAACAGTTATATTACATGGTACATGTACACTTAATTTAAAAACTTAACTCTAATATAAATGCCTCCTTAAAAAGTCGTAAAAGATTTATGCCTAAATGTAAATTATGTAAATTTGAGGTGAACTAAGAATTTCCAAGAAAAATTATAATAGTTTGGAAAATAATATTCTTTAGGACGCAAAAAGTAATCAATTCTTAGTATTTTCCCTAATAACTATGCAAAATTAATAAAATTAAGTGGCAAAATAGGAATTATTATGCAATATCTACCAGTTTTGAAAAATTAATTTTGTTTATTCATGGTAATTTAAAAAAAAATAAGCCATGGATACTTGAAATTTTTAACAAACATTTATTTTAGAATCATTTAGTTATAATAAAACAATTTCAAGTGAATTATTGTAATTCAAATAATATTAATCAAAGAAACTTAACAAATTCCACTATTACCTATTTATATTATCAGTTTTTGAAATATTTATACTAATTTTAAGCTATTTGTAGACATTTTAATTTGTGTACTTTTACATTTTTCAAACAAAGTTCATTTTGTGACAAAAGAAGACTCTTTAGAATATTTAAAGCTATCTAAAAAAAAAAACAAATGTACCGAATACTGGAAAACATAAAAAAGCAAAAACTAAATATATTAAATAATCAATTCAAATTTTAAATTAAGTAAATATATTTTTTACTTGATAATTATATATTATGATGATATCAATAAATACTATATTTTTACTATTATATAGTTTTTAATAACTAAAAATAATTTCATTATAGGTACAACGCGAATTGATAATAATATGGTTCTAAAATAGTTTAAAGATAGTTAATGTGTTCATGTTTCATAATGAAAAACAAAATATAATAGAATATATATGCACTATAATAGATCTAATTTTTTAGTCTTTACTTATCTGCTTAAATTATCTTGGTATTAATAAAGTTTTAAATAGTGTAAACTTTACAAATTTGAACCAGAATCAAACACTTATGGAATTCATCAATTTTTATTTTGTAAGTAATTATGGCAAAAATCCAGAAAGTGTTAAGAAAATGAAACCAATGACCAACATGATTGTGTTACAAAAAAACATAAAATTTAAGAAATTAGATTTGGACATAAGATATATTAAAATATGTATCCGTTCAAAAATAATTTTAAGATTTAACAAAATATCAATTGATTATAAGTGAATCACAAAATAAAGCTTGATGATAGTTGGCTTGTAAAGAATTATTACATGATGTAATTCTGTGATTTTACCATGTGCAATTAATAAAATCAGATAAACCTATCTAAAATAAAATGTTTATGCAGGATTTCGAATATACAATCAACTTCCTACCTAATTTTTAATTGTATGTACAAATATCATATAAAAAATAAATGATTTTTTTTTTTTTGAATATTTTATGATAAAATAATTAAAATTATTGAAGCACATTAAATTGTTAATGTTTATAAATTTATTATAATAATAATAAGTTAATAATAATTAAAATACAATTATTGGTATAATACCTACTTATTTATAATAACTAAATGTTATATACAACTAAAATAATTATGCTGTTATAATGTTAACTAATAATATTATAAATAATTAATAAAAAGAAGGTATTTATCATTCTTTTCAAAGTAATCATAAAAATTGTATACTTATTGGCTATGATAAATCTGTATAAATAATCCAGAGACGTCGATACTCCTAAATAGCTAATCGTACAATAAATATTATTTTTATAGGTACCAATTATCTATTACCTATATTAGTCTGAAGTTCTGCACCGTCAACTGTCAAGTTAGAATCTTATGACGTCACGAGTATTATTTAAAAATTAATTAACTTAGGGAAATACCATTATTTTTCATATAATTTACTATTTATCTAACATGGATTGAGTGTGGTTGTTAATCTTATTTATTACCTTTCTTTGCTTGTTATCACCAGTTAATGCCGACCAGTATCATAAACGTAATCATGTAGTATACAATTTATTTTATCAATTAACTGTAATCACAATTCACGACACCGATAACCATGCAACGGACTGCTTAGCTTATGAAGTATCGTTATTCCGGTTATTCATTACTTATTGGCATTCTCGGCATTTTTCCGTTGATCATTGACTAGTTATATTCTTGAATTTAGATATTTTAATATTTATTATTATTGTCAGTGATTCTAATAATGTATTATACTCGTATAGCATATAACCAGTGAGTTTTCCTACTATAGTAGAGTTTTTATTCTTTAATTATTATCCAATTGATGTGTAATTTAATGTTTTTGAGAACAGGTATGAAATGTGTTTTAAAGTTTGACGAAATTATATAATTTAAAGACAACAACATAATATAAAATATTATACTATGTACGTATATTATACTTCTCAGTAGTGATATAAATTGATATTAATATTATATTATTTTATATTTGAATAGATACAAGAGCTATTTGATTAAAAAATTATAAACTTAATAAAATGGATAACCTGGATCTTACGGAGTTAAAAATTGTTATCCGTTCCGTTTTAGTTGCATGCCAAAACCCTTTAACAGTTGAAGAATTATGGAAAAAAGTGACTTACATGTTTGGTGGACCACAAAAATTACAAATACAAATGCATGGTCACATGACACCTTTTGATTTTCTTAAAAGTATACCAGATGTTGTTCAGGTATTTATTTTTAAAATTTAATTGATGGTTCAAATTATGACTTATATATACCTAAATATAAAATAAATTTAAATCTTTTAAGTTCTACAAGGTAGACTATAGTAAATAATTTATTTGTTAATATAGTTGGAAGATCCAGAAGATACAAACTCTATTATTAATTTAATAAGTTCAAAATTGAGTAGACATATGGAGATATTAGTTTCAAAAAATATAATAAGGCCACCTAAAGATAGAAATCATCTCCAAGAATTATTGATACCATATAGAACACAATGTGCATTTATCAGAATATTTTATGAATTATATCCAGAAGTAAGATATCCTAATGTTTGAATATGAATTAATAATTATATTCACCCTTTGATTAATGTTTACATATATTAACATAATTTAGAATGTATATTTTACACAATAAGCTCTATGATATTAGTTTAAAAAAAAATAATATTTATTTATGTAATTCATCAATTATGAATATTTTGCTGTTTAATAAAAATAATAAACTAAAAATAAATATTTACCGTCATCTTTAAATTTATATCTTTCATTTTAACTATGTATAACACATATAACTTAAATGTACTTCATTACTTTAGATAAATTAAAAGTATATTATTTTAATTTTTTTTTTTTTAATTCATGAAAGTATTATTGTTAAAAAAAAAATTATTGACAGAGTTAAGTATGAAAAAGCGATTCTATTTTAATACATCTTTTCATAAAATTTAAGCTCAAATACTTGTAAGTTGTTAAACTATTATTGCACAACTGCAACACAACATTAACCGCGGTCTCTCTATTTTTTTTTTATACTTTATTTAATTTACATAATTTATGTATTTTAATGATTGTTATTAAGCCACTATTATTTATACAAATAAAAATATATACAGTGTTAATTATTGAAATATTTTTTAAAAAAATATTGATTTCCTTACAAACAATAAATTTTAGTAGTTTACCAATCATTTCTCTATATATTATATTTATATCTATTAAATTAATAATTTATAAAAATTATTATTTATCTATTAAATTATATTTTAACTTATTTTCTTCAAATATGTTAACAGGGATTATCAATAAGTGATTTTGAATCAGATGTTTTGTGTATTCCAATATTTCAGTCATACACCAGCTGTGTTAATAAACTATTGTACAATTTAGACCATATATTTTTAAAAAAGGAAAGAGAAATGATAAGCTTGCATCCAAAAATAATAAATAGCTTAAAAATAATTGAAACAGAAGGTAACAATTATTTATTATTATTTTTCACAAAATTTAAAAATATTTCTAAGTGATTTTTTGTCTTTTTTTTGAAATATATATATAATGTAATTTATAAATCTCATTATTTTACTTTAAAGTAACATCATCTCTACTATTTTTTTATTTTTTATTTCTATAATTAATGCTAATTTTTGTAATTAAAATAAGCCATGTATATATGTAGAAGTTAATACAGTATTGTATAACTTTTAATTGGTTGTGGATGATTAACAAGCATTAACAAAACAGACCAAATACTCTGAAATTACTTTAATACTGCAAATACGACTAAGATTACAACATCACGGTTCACTTAGGTTACTACAACTGAGTGACATAATAACCACAACAACTTAACAATAGAAATAAATAACAATAAACTGATACAGTGAAACCTGTATATAATGGACAGTCATGGTACCAAAATAATTGTTCGTTATACACAAGTGCCCTTTGTAGACAAGTTTCAGTGTTTTAAAAATAAAATTAATCTACAAACATAATATGTTTAATAAAAAATGAAAATTTTGTACGTATGTTTTATTAATATTGTACATAGATATAGTAAAAAATAGACAAACCGCTAAAGTCTACAATAAATAATGTCCACCTTTTGTTTTAAATTCAAAGCTTTACGCCGTATGGGAAGTGGCATTGCAAAAAAAAAATATATACAACTCTGACTGCAAACCAATAGAAACTAATTAAAGTTGTTAGATTTATTTATATTATCATTTACACGTATTGCAATTTACAACTGGATTTATTTCTGTTAAATTGTATTTATGTATTTCAACTTCATTAATTCAATAGATACTCACAATTAATGTTATCAAAATTGGCGATAATATAATAGTTCGTAATCCCTATTTTCACGTGTACCTAATTGAGTTCCGTATTGACACTGTTTCATAATTTGTACATACATGTAACAAAACGTACATTTGGACTTTAACTAGGATTTTCCTCTGTTATAAAATCACTAAGGTAAATTTTAGTTTCCATTATAGACTGGTCAAAATACATTGGAATACATATCTTTTGCTGGAATCTGGTCATTTTGTCTGTTAAGAGAGAGTTTGTTAAGTCCGGTTTCACTGTAATAATATAATATAATACATATAATCCCACATACATTTGCTATAAAAATATTTAAGCTATGTAAATTTAATTAATAATTTATGATGACCTTAAAAAAAAAAGAAATTTGTTTTCAAAATAATTCAATTTTTGATTTTTAGATAAATTTACAGCAATAGATATACATAACATTGATGAATATTCATTGAACAAGTAACTATATTTTATTATTTAAAACAAAATAATTGTTTCAAAAAATTTCAACTGATAATTTTTTAGTAAATATGATGATCAACAAATTTCGAATGGACTGGAATACCCATTATTTAATATTTTAGAAGAAACAGTTAAAACTAAAATTGAACAACTATTAAATGAAGTACCTGGTTGGATATCTGATGGACAAATATGTAATTTATACATGGTCAGATAAGAATATTTTATAATTTATTTATTTTTTTAATTTTAAATATATAATTCTTGTACATGAATGTTTTTTAATTTTTCTTTATTGAAATTTTAATTAAGTAAAATAAATTTTACTTTTTCACTTTTATATTTTTTGATTTTTTTTAAAGTTATTGAAAATATTTTACAATTTATGCACTGACATATTTTCATAGAAAATATTAACAGATTTACTGAATTTGAACATGGATTTGTTAAAGAGTATATTTTTATTGTAATTGTTATCATTTTCTTTATTTTATATTTAATTCTATTGATGAATTGGATTATAATATTAGTTTTGATCAATGAACACAGTTCTTTTTATTACATTCTTGTTATTCTGAAAACATACATTATATTTGTTTACAAAAGTCCTAGATGTCATATTAATTTTGTTTTTTTAATTCATTAATTATTTTCTTTATCCAGAAAAAATTTGGTTCTGTATTTACTCATAGTAGACGATGGGGTTTTACAAGAGTTAGTCAAATGTTTTCTAAGCTACCAGAACTGTGCTGTGTTCATTTCTCAGAAGATGAGATAAAAATATTTTCATTAAAAAATCATACTTGTGTTAAGAATCTTAAAAAGTCAGATGTATTAGAAGAAGCAAATGGTGATGTATTATTGTAATAATTATTTTAATTATATTTTATAGTTAACATTTTATTTTATAGATAACTTAGAGACCAGATTTGTTCCTGTTAATGCAAAAAACATGTATGATGAACCCAGTGAAAATGATGGAACATTAAAAGCATTTTTAGTATGTTATTTTATTTATTACTTATTAAATATTAATTATTATTGGTGTTGGATAACTTTTATAATTACAAAATTATTGAAATCTATTGGCTAATATCTAAAAAAAATAAACCGACAGCATACAGCTGTTTGTGATATACTCTAGACTAGCGTTTCTCAAACTGTGGGTTGCGACCCACTGGTAGATTGTCAATCAATTTTTGGTGGGTCACGATCAATTTTTTTGAATTATATAGATTCCAAAAAATGTATGTTAAATTGATATTAAATACATTATTATAATTAAAAGTACATTTGTAAAAATTTATTGATTTTAAACCTATACAATAATAAAAATAATTAGGTTAAAAGTACCTAATAAACAAATTTTGTTAAAAAAATTAAAATTATATTATATTATTATTATCATTGAAAACTGGTTACCATTGTGTTGTCTTCTTAAGAAAACGCCATACCCACATATATTGTCTCCATCTCACAAACAATCAATGTTGCAAAATTTTGTTCAATAAAACTAATCTTGTGTGTTTAGCTTAAATATTAGAGTAAAGTAACTTATCAAATTTAAAGGTAAGAAAATTATCTGTGTTTTCTTTTTTGTATTTTACAATACTTTAAAATTTTTGTGGATTTTGAAGACTTTTAAATATTGATATTTTACATGATCATAACTCATTTGTAAAATTAAAACATTGTAAAAATCTGACAAAAGAATACAGATAATATTCTTACCTTTAGGTTCTAATGAACAAAAATTTGTCATGTTGTACGTTTATAAGAAGAAAACAATACATGTAGGCGTGACATCTGTTTTACTTAAATAGAATATAATAGTTTAGTCTGTATGCAGCTTAATAACTATATTCGTTAATCGTTACCATTATTCTTTCCAAGAATACAGTTTTCAAGTATTATAAATTATACAAAATAAACAAGCTTGTTCTAGAAGTATTCTGTCTTTTTACACATATTAATTAACATATGTGATGCATAATTCTATAATGTTACTTTTAAATAACAAACAGTAGTTAATCTTTTCTTATAATAAATTATAAAGTAACTTTTATAGTAGTAGGTACAATACTACCAAACACTCCATTATTAATTAATGATTAATGAATATTTTTAATCTATTTGCAGAGAAATGATCCTTACTTAGAAGCTTCCTTAAGTGATTGTTTTTTAAAGCAAGAAATTCAACATTTTGAACTGAAAATCAATAATTCATTTGATGTCAATGTCTGTAGAGTTGATACAAGTTATATGCCAACCATAATATGTCAATGCATGGATCAATATCATGAATTTCAGAAGTTATTAGTTGATATGAAGTAACTATATAACAATATATCACACTATTCCATTTATTTTAAATTAATAAACATAGAATAAGATTTGATAGTAAGGTTATCTTACTCTAACAAACTCACAAATGTTTAAAATTATGAATTGAAAGTAAATTTTAGAGTATATTATTTTATTTATTTTTTAATGTCCGTCATATTGTTCTTAAAAAATTAATTATAAAAATAAAAAAATAAAATGGTTTTTACAAAACAAAAATTATTTTAAGTAATTTGAATTCTTAATTATTACCGTTTAAGACATTTAAAAATAGAACTTTAGTGCGTAGTATATGAAATAGTTTTTAACTAGTTACATAAAGGTTTCATTAATATTTCGCCAATTAATTTAAAATTTAAAATTTAAAATTATAATTACTTATTTATTGAAATTAATTAATATTTATAGAAACTTTTATTTCATGAATGAATCAAAGTTTTTATTTGATACAAGTATAACCATGGTGAAACATACATATGCATATTTTTTGGATGATTTTTGGTTTCGAGGGATTGTTACTGATGTCAAATTAGAAAGATTAGAAGTAAGTATAATTATTTTTAGGTTATTAATATATCTACAATTCTGTTAACATTAAAAATAATTAAAATAATATGTGTTATTATTTGTTTTAATCTTAGTCTTACCACCTTGATACTCAAAGTTAAAAATCAATGAAATAACTAATAATTAATTTAATTTAAAATAAATTTAAACTGTGTACATTCAATCTATGTAATAAATATTAACTAATATTATTTATATGTTAATACCTAAAATATATTAATTTTTAATATAGTTAGTATTTTTTTTTTAACAAAAATAGTAGATAAAATGAATAAAACTATTTTAAATATGTATTTTGAACCTAATATTCATAGTTAAAAAGTTCCATTGGTTCATCACTATTACTCGTTCAATTATACTTCAAATATAGTTATGATTACAACCATCTTATTGTTTTGATGCATTTTATCATAAATAATTTATGTAGATACTAAAATAATACTTTTGATATTTTTTTTTATCATATCAATTATCAGATTGTAATTATTTATTATCAAAATATTAACTGATATATTTTTGAATACTGTTTACATGAACATATGTGTATAAAATACATATTACTTATTTATATATATATATATATATATATATATATATATACATGTTTTATTGAAACTACTAGTATCTAGTAATATTATACTAAGATTTAATAGTTGGTTATTTAACTTTTGCATTATATTAAATATTGTTTACTTATAACTTTAGATGATAAATATTGATGATGGTTCGATGCATACTATTCCACCGGAGGACATCAGGTTATTGCATGTACGATTTGCCCAACTACCAGCACAATCAGTTACTTGTAAATTACATGGAATAGATTCTATTGCCGAAGATGAGCTTTTGAATATTTTTGATAAAAAATGTAAAATTTACGTTGTTTCTACTGATCTACAAAATAAAGTAATTTGTTTCAACTATCTTTAAAGAATACCTATTTTTTTTTACATAATAATTAGTTTAAATTATATTTTGCATACATCTTTAAATCATTCAATATTTTGATAAGTGTAAATTTTATTTGGTATTATTTCAGTCTACAAGTGTCAAAATTAAATTGATGGATTCTGCATCAGATAAATACTTAAATGATGAATGGATTGAAAGTGGTGTTGCTCAACAAGATTCAGATGAAGAATAATAAAGATATAATTGTATTTAGCTATAGACTATACTAATAATTAAATCCATAAGCTATAGAAATAAAACAAAGGAGTTACTATTTTATTTTTGGTTATTCACATATTTTTATATTGTTAAATTTAAACTTTACATATAATCTGTTCCTATAAAAATTAAAATATCAAAATCTGAGACTAATTATAAAAAAAATAAATTGGTTTCTTAGAAATTCATATTACTTTTTTTAATATATTATATTATTGTTGATACATTTAACCATGGGTGTAAGGTGGTCAATTTTTTTTTTTTGGGGGGGGGGGGGGGGGGGGGCTAAGCCCACTAACTATGCCTACACATTTAACAGACGTAAGCTTTTTGAATATATGATTGAATACAATTGACTATAATTACAAATAACAACCAAACATGATTTTACAATAATTTGATTACTTTTACATAATATAAATACTGAAATTTAGGTTTAGAATATCTGAAAAATAAGAATAGTTAAATATCAAATCAATGTTGTACTTTGATACATTAGCAGCTAATATTTCAGTGTTTCTTTAACTGTGTTCGTGGAGATCATTTTGGGACTCCATGAAACTTATGAGCTTTTTTTCAAAGTTTTTAAGAAAATTGCTTAAAAGATTAGTAGCGACTAGTGAGGGGAAAAATATGTTTTGTATAATACAAAAAATATTTGCTTTTTAAATAATAATATATATGGTAAAGTACTGTTATATCCCATTCTGATTTGGTACAGTTGTTTTATTTTTTTGATAATGGATTCTTCTTGAGGAAAGAAAATTACAAATGCAGTTTTGGTCGATAATATTACTTTTATTAATTTACTTAACGGATTATCTTAGATTTACATTGTAGTATAAAACGTCTTGTTAATCAAGGCTTGCGATCTACTGGTACAAGAAAATATGCTGACAACGAATATCGCATACACTATACACATCAAAATTACTTACGTGCTATAATCTCAATGCTTAATATGGGGTTTTTAACACCCCCTAGGTAAGATGGAAAATCATCGATCCACATTTACACAATTTTGGGTGATGATTTTCCATGGGGTTCCGAGCATGTTTCTAATAATATATCCTCATTTATTTTGGGTGCTATTTCTAATTGTCTCAGTCAATTAGACTATTGTCAATTAAACAATTGTTTCAACTTAATACAAAATATATTTTTCTTTCTTAAATATAGTAATAATAAAATGGAGCTCACGGTGATGACTGTTATCATTATTAAAATATATTTAATATAACTGACATGCTTATTGTTTCCTCTGGTATTTTTGTGAATGAATTTTGAAGTAAACTTAATGATTTAGAAATTTCCGTTAATTTATTTAAATTGTTTTTTATAATTGGGATTTGTTTTGGAGATGGAAAATTTTGTATCTCGTTATCAATTAAATGTTCCCATTTGCTCAAGTCCATTGAGATGTTCAAACTAGGAACGTAATTTACAAGCATTCGAAATTATTTTCCTATTTGGTTTCAATTTAACTTCGTTTTCGGCCGTGTTTGCTTCACGATAATTATCTAAGCTTAACATTCCTGTACCGGCCATTTACTTTTTCTATTATTGGTTTTGTCATATTTTGACAAGTGATTAAAATATTTTCATTATTTGTTATATATATCCAAGTATTCCTATTCTCTAACTTATGCCATATATTATGATTAAATTGAACATGCTTAACGTTACATAATTTGGGGATTGTTCCTGGATTACGAAATAACATTGCTTCACATGAGTCTTTTACATTTTGAATAGGTTAATCGTGGTTACTAATAATTACATTTGTCATGGTTTTACGATTTGATAATTGCTGGGAACTTAGCTTTATAAATATAAGCATGACTTATCTATAGCTATATAATCTGATGTGGGTTCTATAATTATGTAAATATTATCATGTATCTTAATAGGTAAAGGTATAGATTTATACATTATAAACTTAAAGTTATCAATTAATGGTATTTCTATTATAAATATTAATACATTTTCTACATAAACTACATTTATTTCGCCTATCCGTAATAATTCTGACACACCTTTATTAGACAATTACCTGGTAACGTTAAAATGTATACGATTGAATAATAACGAAAATTGTTTGAGTTAGTTGTTTATTGCATCAGCTACTAATATATATTTTAATATATATTTCAATAAGTTCTATTACAAAATTTTTAATATCGTCAAGACTAACATTACAAAAAATGCAAAACAAACTCACAAGAAAAGCGTCATGGGAGGATATGTATCGACAGCATAGAAATAATGTAAAATAAATGTTGTATCAATGTAAAGAAAAAAATACATAATTTCTAAAACTAAAAATGTTCGAGTACATAATATATACATAATAAACATGTAGGAACGCAAAAATATGTATAGTTTGTAACATATTAACTATATCTGTATTATAAACGGTACTTTCTTTCGTAAGACAGACTTAAGTGATAAGTATTTGATGTTTTCGATGACTTGTTAATATACCTATTATTAAGAAAAATTAAAATAATTTATGATATTTATGTTTATATTAATTTGTCAATTTGAATTCAATGTCTGCCCGATTATCATCTATAGCTCTAAATTTAAGCATTGTTACGTCCATCTACAACTGGCTGTATATTATTATAATATATTTTTCGCTGTACAAGCCTTTTAGGCTTTCTGCTGCTAAAACTAATTATTTCCATTTTCCTCTGTCCTTTGCCATATCCCAGTTTATTTCTCTTGATTGCATAAGTTCCATCATTGTCTCCCGAACATTGTCCATCCACCTTCAACGTGGTCTCCCTTGTTCCTTCCTAAGCATATTAAATTTATTATGATTGTGACCCGAACTTACTAAACATTGTACCTTGTAATAAAATCACAACACGATTTTTGTTTCTAGATAAGAAGTGCTAGACCAAAAGTGGATAACAAAGCACCCTCGCTTAAAGTTACAGCGTATTACAAGCCTGGAACCATTGAAAGAAACACGGCAAGACTAGCACAAATAGAAGAGGACAATTTTAAATTAATAAAAAATATTAACATAATTTATCGTACCAAGGTAAAAAATATAATTTTGTTAATAATTATATGATATGATTTCCATATTTTCTATATTTTTTACTTTTAATTTTATACTTTTGACAATTGATTAAAGCTCATTTTAATTATAAAATAGTTTTTACTCTATTACAACATTATGTAAAGTAATTTAAGTTTAATTTTCGTATTTTTCGATATGATTAGATTCAACTATTAAACTCTTTGTTCATACATTTTTTTATTATTTGTGTTTTTTATTTATTGTATGAACAATACAATTTTATTATAACTTATTATGCTGACAAAAACTATTAATTATATTTTATGCCATGCATATATTATTTATATCTAATTACTATTATTATTATCTTCTTATTGTATAAACAACATCAATATTATTTTATCATGTTAACCCTTAAGAAGACAGATACTGTTGAATGGAATATCATTGGCCCAAATTTTACTTTTTTTATTCATTTCGATAAATATGGAGAACATTTTTGTGAAAGTTGGATAACTTATATTTTTTTCTTCTAAAATATGATTCAACTACTGTATATTACTGTACCACCGCATCTCATTAACTACAAACTCATCTAAATACTCTCTCATAGTGGTTCACCAACTGAAAAATAAAAATCAATGAATCTAAGTCCTCTTTTGTGACTTTCTCACTAAGACCTCTAAACTGCCCAGCTGTAACAATCAACAACATCATAATTTCTCAGTTGACAGAAGTAAAATATCTTGGTCTTACATTCGACAGACGCCTTACCTGGTCTCTCCATCTCAAAGACAAGCGTAAGAAACTTAAGTTTAGACTTCACACCTGCTAAAGCCATTGTTTCGTTCGAATCTTACCTTACCCATCAAAATCATTCTCTATAAAACTCTTCTTCAACCAATAATGGACATACGGTATAGTAATCTGGGGTTCTGCTAAGAACTCGAACAAGAAAACTATACAAGCTTTCCAAAATATCACTCTTCGTTTAATCACTGGTGCACCCTGGTTCGTTTCGAACGAAACCATAAACTCCGACCTCAAATCACCTTCCATCGACGATACAGCTGCTATCTACTATAAACGCTTCAACGTCAAACTTCTAAATATTCCTAACCATCTAATCAATGTGTTAGCCTCACTAACCTAACCTAACCTAATCTAACCAGACGCCTTTAGAGGAATTGTGCCGTGATTTGATAACTTAAGTTAAAACTTATAAATATAAGAGGTGTCACAAATGTGTGATTCCCTCCTCATGTGTTTATTCCTGTAAATTGTCTGTACATTTTTATTAGTATTACTTATTGTACTATGTATAGAACGTAATTCTTCAAATAAAATCAAATATTTAAAAGAAAAAAATTTCTTCATTATTTGATAACAATTGTTATTAATTTCACTAAATTAAGTTTTGAACAATTATTTTCATATAATTCATTACATATTGAAACCTCTATTCCTACCCGCAGATTGATACAATTTTGAAGAAATTACGTTAAATAGTTCAGCTGGCAGCTATTATGTCATAATTTATATTTTTCCAATTTATGCATCAAAGTTATTATTAAAGGCTAGTGTTGCCCCATTTGACGGTATTGAAAAAAACAACCTACTCGTATAATTATAAAGTATGGGTTTTTAGAACCCCTTTTGTGTCTTGATTACATATTTATTTATTTTTTTAATTGGTATAATCGAAGTTACAATATGTGTTTTAAAAGACACAATACCTTGATCCCGTATTAATCGATGTGTATTTCAAAAGACATATTATCTTAAATGCTATCATAAAATTAACATATAATTTACTTATGGTTTATATATGTTTAGATCAATTTGATTGAAAACAGATTAAAACTAAGAAACTAAATGATATTTTTCAAGCAAATTTACGACAAAAATAATTATAATACTTATATTTTTTATTTACTTTAGAATAGTTTTGGTAAATAATAAAATGATAAAATGAAAGTCTGTAGACTTTCAAAACCACTTAACTAATATTTTTTGTTTTTTTTTTCGCTAATTATTTCATGTGAATATGCTCTCGCGTATTCACGTGAAATAAAGGTTCGATTTGTAAGACCCGTTCTTTAACATTTTGTATAATATTGTTCACGTGAATTTGTGAATTATTGTATTCACGTATTTACACGTTTTTTAGATATACGACGACGTTTTCTAGATTTTTATTTCTATTATTTTCTAAACTTTAGGAAGATGTATTAATATAATTTACTAAAATTGTATCAAAACTAAAATTTCTTGATGGAAGATGTATTATTTTCATTTTCAGAACTACCAAACCTTATTATAACTTCTTCGGAATTAAATGGATTTTTAAATCCCAATTGAAACCTTTATAATATGTATTTATTGAATATTTTATATTTATTAATAAATTATTTACATCCTAGTAAAACTACAATAATATTTTTTTTTCTGTTTCTATTTTTGTAATAAATGTGTTGGTAGGAATGATATACTAATGTATTTATATTTTATACGTACCTAACAATTGTTTGATTTTAATGACCTGAATAAAAAACATAATTTTAATTACTTTTTTGTCACTGATTCTTTTGGTAATTTAATTTGATGTACATTTTGTAAATGTCTTATTAGAGACCTAGTAGTTTCACTGACAAAGGAGTATAAATTTTGATCATCATCACATATATCACAATAGTCGCGATCTCCTTCTTACTTAGCATAGTGCTACACCCAACTTTTTCTTTTACCCATTTTTTGTAAAAAATTATATACTGTAATAACTGTGTGTAACTTTTAATGTGGCTACACCCAAACCTAACGGTTGACTGTTGCAACTAATATAAATTATAAAACTAAAACTCTACACATAATATCTAATCTTTCACAAAAAACATTGTAAGTGTTTTATTTTGTTATATTCACGTGTTTATGATACCCGTGTATGTATGTCTATATTCATTTAAAAAAACATGATCGCTATAATGTCACCCGTTTATTACGGATTTGTGTGGAATATTGAGTGCGGTAATTTTAACGGAAAAGTTCCACAAAAAAATATTGTTCTTATTTGACCTGAGCCTTCACATTTAGCAAAATCTTCATGCATACCCAAAGTGTTTTAAACTTTATTTTACAGATGAATTAATTTAATATTTATTTATACTAATCAAGAAATACAACGCCAAAAGGAAAACTATTTTTATAGTTAAAACAAGTTATTATAAAACAAGTGCAAACCTATTTGATTTAACATTGCTTGAACTCAATGCTTTGTTTGGTTTATTGAAGTTAATGTGCAAGTAGATTGGTTTTACAATGATATGTTTTTTTTCTTTTTTTGTCTCTAAGGTGCAATGAAAACAATTCAGTTTTTCATTTTGAGGGTAGTTTTAGATAGAAAATTAAATCTAGTTAGTATTTTTAAAACAAAAGTAAACATTTTTCAGTACTTTTCAAAATAATAAGGAAAAACAAATAATTATTATGGAAAAACCGGGAACTTTTATAAAAAAACATTTTTTTGATTAAATAAATCAATTTTTTTTTTTTGTTATAATTAAAGCGCGGATTTTTATGCACTTAAAAGTATCGAAATATGGCATATAATATGCAGTAAAAATAATGAAAATATGCAGTAAAAATTATGAAAATATGCAAAAATATACAAGAATTTTTTATTTATTTAAAATTTACAATAAAACTTATAATAATTAATTACTTAAATACTTAATAATAAATAATTTAGGAAATTTTCTAAACTTAATTTATTTTTAAAATTGTATTTATTATTAAAATTAATAATCATATGCATTTCAAGTTTTTCTTTTGTGAAGTTGTATCATTTATCGATTAACATATTTTTAAAGACTGAGAACGAACGTTTGACGTCAACCGAAGTTATTGGGGCATATTTGAAGCAATTTAGTATTGTCGGATCTTGATAAAGATCTTCAAGATGAACGTTTTCACTTAATAACACTGAATTAATTTTTCGTAGAATTTTCAGATCTTCATTTTTATTGGAAAGCTCGTTTAATTTTGTTGTAAGTGTTACACCTTTCAATCCAGGAATAGAATGCATTTTTTCTTTCGTTTCGTCAATTATTGAAAAGCTTAGATATAAAGTCATATTTCGAGTTTCCAGTTTTTTTTATGACTATTTTTATCACTAAAAATGCCAAATGAATAGATATAAATTTTAAATCATTCTACTTGACAAAATATTATCCTATACATTTTTTTAAATTTTCGCTTCAATATGCAATAAATTTTGAATTTTGTCAAAATATGCAAAAATATGCAATAACCTTCAAATATGCAGAAATATGCAAAAAAAAATTTCACCATTAGCTTCAAATTATGATAATTCGTGGAGATAACTGACAAAAATCCAAAAATATTAAAAGGAAAAAAATATGCAATGGCATAGAAATCCGCGCTCTAGTTATAATTATTATAGTATAACCATAGACTTTATTAATTAAATTTTGAACAATATTTTCAAACATCAACGCCAAAATCAGTTAGCAGAATAATTTAGAGTCGTTAGCGAATGATAAAAATGTTAGGGTATTAACATATGAACTTAATGTATATTGTATACATCACAGGTTGTAACATGAATATCACTTTAATTATTAAATACATTATTTACCTTATAACTTTAAAGTTATGATATTAGTTATATCTAATTAATAAAGTGTGGTTCAGGGTAAAACCGATTGTTTTAGATCAAACTTATTCAACAATAGAGTAAAAGTTAAAAGTAACAATGTTAACATGATGAAATTAAAACAAAAAATATTTAAAGAAAACGTTGAAATTCTAGATAAAATTGTTCGCGTAGTAAGTACATATATAAGTATTTAAAATATAGAACAAAAATTGGTATGAACGAAATTGTAAATGCCTATGTAATGTAACTTTATTATGAATATTCTAGAAACCTAAAGTCGATTTTAATGAAATGGAAGAACACTACAAAAATCACCTTAAGTTAATAATGTCCATGACCAATTTTCCGGAAAGTTATAAGAAGAAAAAGTCTTATGATCCGCTTATTGTCAACATGAAATTACCAAAAAATCTACGAATTAAAAAATCCAAGTAAAATTTACATTACATTAGCGTCTTTTATTTTTGGACTTTCGTCGATAACATGTAACATGAGTATAATTATTATCATAGATGTTATTTGGATATCAATAATTTAACAGAGAACAGGTCGCTGGGTCGTATGACGATTGAAGTATACGATAGCATCGTTCCCAAAACAGCTGAAAATTTCAAAATGCTGTGCCAACAGAGATTGGGTGAACTTGATTACAGTGGAACGCAAATCTTCCGCATCATACCGGGGCTATTTTGTTTAGCAGGAGACGTCGAATACTCGATTGGACTTGGTGGTGTATCAGCTATAAATAACGAACGATATTTCGATGACGAAAACTACACGCTCAGCCACAATGCACCCGGTACGGTTGTTGTTACAACTTTTTATCAAAAATGACCTTTTCCGTTTTCCACCAAACTTTTAAAAAAAAAATCATTCTTTTTTTCTGCAAATTAAAAATTAAAGATTTATACATTTGGAACCTTTTTATGTTATAATTCAATATTTTAATAATATCTATTTTTTATTAAATAATAACTGAATAGACGTATGCAGTGTGTTAATAATTTGTTTATAAATACTGATTAATTTTATTTTGGGCAATTTCTAAATATAATTTCAACGACTTAATTTATTCCTTCATACGCTTAATAAAATTTAAAGTTACTAATATTTACTACTAAATATTTTTTTATTAACACGATTTTAGTTGAATATACAACTCATTGATCGATGTTCACTATCCGCCATCGGATTTAATACATATTTTAAAGACGTATAAAAGACATATGATATATTGTACGTTTACAAAATCAACTATTTAAGGTGTAAATTTCAAATTATGTACAAATTATAAGCCATAAGAACATATTATGAAACTTTTTATTAACTTATAATAATTAGTCAAATAACCAAGTCAACAACAGTAGTTCTATAATTATAGTTATAAAATATATATAACTCAATTATGTTAAATATACTAAATTATGGTTTAGACATTTTTTGAAATTCGCACACCACTACTTTCACGGTAAAAGAAGAGTATCGTTAATTTGTTTATTGTTTTAATTAATTTGACATTTATTTTAATTCTGAAAAATAAATTATTGAAATTTAATAGTGTATTTATAAATTTATTTATTTATTTGACATTGCTTTAATATCATATACAATAGAAAACTTATAGACATATTTATAAAATTGCATATTTCATTTAAGTTATAAATGTTGTGATTAAGATAATTTTAAAATATGTTAGTGTTAATATTTATTACATTTTTTAAAGTATTCACTAATAGTTCACACGAAACTTCTTTATTCTCTTTTATTGAAATAGGTTTTTTCTTCAGGTCATCAAATAATTGCCAGTTTTTTATTTCTCTCTTAATATAAGTATTGTAATGTCCTATTGTCGATCTTAATTTCAATTTCTCTAGACTAAAACTTATTACTCCCCTAAGTTCATAAAGTTCATAAGATATGGAGTTGTATATCAAATGTGGTGGGATATCTGATAATCGCATTTTCACTTGTGCAGTATTTTCTGAACTTTGATTATTGGAAACACCTACCTCTGAAAAATTACAGTAATTTTTAATTTTACTAATTTATTTTATAATTGAATATAAAGTAGTTATTTAATTTATAAAAGAATAATATTTGTTTGTATATAGTAAAATTATTTACCTTCCCAATAAAATATATCAATAAATAAATGCTTGTCAGAAAGTTCTGTTATACACTTTTTTGTTTTTTCACGACATTTTTTACTTCGAATTCTTACATGTTGACTCACCACATCGGAAACAACTGTCCAAAAAATATTAAAAATTATTTATTTTCCCATTTTTTTTTTTTTTTATTATTATTATTATTATTATTATTAATTAAAGACCCGCAGTGACTGTGGCTATTGGTCTGGCTTTACGGTACATATTATTATATATTGCTTAACCTATTAACTTAAAATTAAACATTCATATTTTATTACACAAATTGGATTTTTTTAAGAACATTAAAAGATTTTGTGTTGACTTTGGCTCCAGACTCAGGATTTTGTATAGATATGTGAAGCGTAGTATGTCTTCGCGGTCAGGTTAAACACATCGTCAGCTTAGTCGAACTACTTGTTAGTTTAAAGTTTAATGAAGTGCATTTTACTTTTTCTTTCAATGTAGGAAATTCTTCAAATATTGAATTGATAATATTAGTTATGGTGGTATCACAACTATCTAAAGTAATACCTACCTACTGCAACTGCTAAATTTTAGAATTAGTTTTACTAATTGTACCTTTGTGCATCATTTATTTGCTATTTTCATGTATATTTTTAACCCATGTCTGAAATGAATTGTGATCCAGAAATCCTTCGGTATGATGTTCAATTACTTCTTCTAAAACATTCTTTCTCCATCTTCTGTTTCGCAATTAGTCAATACTTCTTCGAATACAGTATCATTTATATAACTTAAACTATAAAAATTCAATAGTAATTATTAAAAATGTGGTTCCACTAAAATTTTAATATTTTCCATAGGAAGAAACTGGTGTGATGTCTTGCCATCCCCCCCCCCCACACTTGAAATTGAAATTTTGGACGAAGTAGTGGCATGCAAATTCATACAAATTCCTTGCTGAATAATAACATAATTTTTTTACAGATTTTGAATTGGGGGGAAGGGTCAGCCCAACGCAAGTAAGATATAGGGCCCTTGAACGTTCATCGAGAATCAGTGGTTGTATGTATGAAACCAGAAAGAACACGTTTGCATAAATAAATAACTTTTTATTTTTAAAGATTATACTTAATGTGCCAACATAGGTTGTTGTGTTTGGTGACCGTGCAACTATACCTTGTGTGGCCATAGTCCTGACATTTGAAGAACTTTTGACGTCGAACATGCGCCTGACACTACAATTAACGTGGTCAATTCTAAAACTGGAGGAAACCAGCACCTTTACTGAGTTCGAGGGCACAGAAAAAGTTATGGTTTTGGTCCCTCATCCGACTCTTCTTTTGCTTATAATCTTAATATTTATCGATGACACTGCTGCTGCCTCAATTGCCTATGAGATTTTTTCATCGGATGCTTCTTCGTCCGCGTCTCTGATTTCTAGTTTTGTGGTGTTTGTTAATCTAGTGAAAGTTACGCCACCACCCACTGCTCGGAGTATGTCTTTAGTCAAATTTTCTGTGTTGGTTGACTTCCGATCAAGGACCACACGAAAGCCACTTTCCCTGGTCTCGCCGCACTAATGCTATTACTTACTGCTTTTACTCCCTTACCAGCTTTAATTTTCTTTAGTATGTCAGTGTACTCATCTTTCCAACTCTGGAAATGACTACGTCAAGTCTGAATTTGGCTTGGATATTTTGCGCTCTTTCTTTGGTCTTTTCTTCACCATTGGCCATGCTTCCAGCGGCACTTAAGGTTTGAAGCTGAGGTGGTACAAGGGCTGGTTCTAGTTATTTCTAGCCATAGAGGTTTTCTTGGAGTCTGCATTAGTGATAGCTTGACTATAATTGCCTCGAGCTTCGCGTCTTGCTTGTCTAGTCGGTTGTATACTTCTAAGTACCCTTTAGGGTGCGTATTGGGTTTCAGCACATGGCTTGAAGGACTTAATCTAGATATAACTGAACGTTGTCAGTGGTTAAGCAATAAGCTTCTGATTTTGTGAGGCTTGGTGGAGGATGTCGATGAGAAGGGTGTTCAGTGGTATTCTGTTCGCGGCTAATTCCTCGATTATAGCAACTATGTTTGAGATGCTTTCTTTTACTTTGGCACTCCTGGTGAAGGAAGATAGTTGGCTAAGAGAGTCGACTTTGCTACACAGCCTATTAATGATAATATTCTGCCCCTTAACTAGTGCTCTTAAATTGGCCATCGATTGGATCAGTGTGAACCATCCTTCGTTTTCAGCTTGGAAGCTATGAGTCTGTCTTCTAGGGATTTCCTTTTTTCTAGTTGCGTCCTCCCTTGGGAGACGACTGTTTCAGCATTAGTAGTAACTAGAAAAGTGAAAGTCTGGCTGACCACTTTGTAATTACCATCTAAGTAATGGGAAATGTAATATTATTTAATATTAAATAGTAACATACAATAGGGAAAGTGTGTTTGGCAACAACACATGAGTAAAAAAATAATGAATTATTGTATTACATATTAAAGCGATGCCGTCGGTTTACTACATTACTTCAAATTCATGATACTCATATGTCTATGACACAGGTACTTTATCTATGTACAATTTAGAAAAAAATGAAAACGCTTCACAATTTATGATCACGTTTAAACCACTGACAGTACTAAACGGTAGACATGTCGTTTTTGGTAGAGTCATTGGCGGAATGAAAACGTTAAAACTCGTATGTATCTAGTTCACCAAAACGGTTATAAAAATTGATGAAATTTTTAACCGTATTATTTTTTTTTTTTTTTTTTTTTAGATAGAAGATTCAGGATTCGCGTCTGGTAAACCAAAACATAAAATCGTGATTATTAAATGTGGAGTATTTAACAACTGTTAAATATTTATGTGAAATTGGCATTAAATTGTATAGGTAATTCAATGATGTTCATGCCTGTGTTAATATTACCATTGCTCATTGTCTCTCATCGTGGTAATTGTCGTTATCATACATATAGAGAATTGTGTATACAATAATGGCTGATATGTATAAATTTTAACACCCGCAACAATACAATATATTTTTAATGTCATTATAAACAATTAAGCTTGTGTCTGTTGATTTATATCTTAAAAATCATTCGTGGCATTATATTTTTTACACAATAATATTAAATGTATACATGTGATTTATTTTATTATTTAGGTATTACATATTTACGAACTGAGCCTTTTTTACAATGATATTAAATGAATTTAATTAACAGAAAATATGTGCATAATAAATGAACGGTAAACAAAAATATAAGGTGATATTATAAAAATACAAAGAAGAGAATAAAATTAAAACAATATCAACTATAACCATTGAAAAAATGTAAAGTGTTGGTTCACATTGGCAATAGAAATTAATCACCTTAGGGGCTCATTCACTAAGTAATTAGAGGTAGAATGTGGAACATAAAATGGAATAGTCGATTGGGTGGAACGGCCAGGTATCTAAAAACAAATTAAAGGTTAGGTGAATCGACTTGGTCATTCAATAACCCTTCGAGGAATCTAAGACCAGAATTGTGTTTACGTTCAACTAAAGAAGATAGGCAAAGATATAGGAAAGACAAAGACTTCTTGGATAATTTGAACAAGTTAGACAGAAATATGAAGTATCTTTTCATATTTTTTTCCTGCGCAAACACAACATCTTTAACGAAGTTCCCTTCCATTTTTTCCTACCTTATGTGTTTTTGGAATGGGTTTTCTTTTAGCATCTTGTCTTAGTTTTGGATATGCTGATAAAAGTTCAATAAGAATAGACAAACGAAAATCATAAAATGTCATCTTAAATCAGACTTGTGATTGATTGTACAAATTATAAGAATACCTAACAACATTTGGATTACATGTATTCTTATTTTCTTATACTAATGAATGATTTTTCTTAAAAATGGATTGTAACTATTCATCTGGTCTTGTCAATCAATTTCAATCATAATTTTATTATAATTTGCAAATGGTACTGGTTTTAGTTTTTTCATAACCTTTTACATTTTCACAAGTATTAAATTATTTTGGAATTCAGTATAAATATACATAACATCTTGTTTATCCCATTTACCAATCATCACATCATTAAAGTACATTGCATTTGTTTTCCCGGGTTTTAATTTGATTTTACCACAACCTCAGGAATAATTTTTGATTAAATTTTAATGTAGCCCGCATTATATGATTTTTTTTTTTATGTAATAATTGTTCTGCTAAATCAATACTATTATAAAAATTGTCCATATAGATTGAATGACCATTATTCAATTTTTTGGGCATAGATATAATACTACTTTTTCAGCGAATCGCGGATGAAAAGTTTGTTTTAAAAAAAGTCGGACAATAGGTCCGGGATTCAGTTTTTATTTGGTTAATATTTTTATTAAATTGCAATAATAGCCAATAGATAACATTGCATTTTAACTGTTTTATTAAATCAAATATGCAATCACCTCATTAATTATATCATATTATCGTTTATCAGATACAATTAGTCTGATGACTGTTTCCAAACTTTTTGAACACTCTGTAAATCATCAATCTCAAAATAAGTTTAAACATTTTTATAATTTGACCATATAGTTTATCGTTCAACTTCTAATAATTACTTACCTACATTATTGAAAACTGATACTAATATAATACATCTTTCCGTGTGTTTCCGGGCAAAAGACCAGAGTGAGCTCCCGGGAGCTAAGCACCCCAAAAACCCGCCCGGAGCGCCACCTTACCTTAGACGCCATAATGAGCTACTACCGCAGCCTGTACCCGACGGTTTCCCACCCGAATCAAACCCCTTCTACTAAGATGTTACTCTCACAACCACCACAAGTCCTTTCTCTAGTGCGGCGATCCCGTCACGGACGAGCGCGGGTCCTCGGTGAACATTCACGGTCGTGCGACCCGTTAGCGGGCCTGCCCGCCGAGGCTGGTCTCCTATTCCCGCGATACGAAATTCGAGCTCAGCGCTCTAGTCCTTGCAACTGCCGGTCCGCGATAGACCCCAGGACAGCGCGCGAAGTCTGCTACAGGGCTATCTTGTGTGCGTACGGTTTTCTTTTTAACAGATTGCCGTCTCTGTTTAGGTATCTAAAATTGCACTTGACTCTCCCCCTCCCCCGGTTGAATGTGCGTAACGTAGCACTCGAAGGGGGAGCAGGCCCTTATTTACGAGACTTATAAGACCTAATTAAACTCCTGTTGAGGCACCCGGTTCTACGCTCCCCGAAGGGTGTACGCCACTGACAACGGGCGTTTCGCACCTGGCCGCGGGACTGCTGTGGAGTCTCCCGATCTTTCCCACTGCAACCAGCAATAACTGTCATATCCTGATAGGCGGCTACCGAGAAGCCGTCCCCCGGCTTCTGCCGCGCATTCCTCAACGGTTCGTGCTGCCGCCCCAACCACCCCCCCCCCCCGCGGAAGGGACGCATAGCACTCCCACGACGGAGTTGGATCTCGCCGCATAAGTCGTGTTCTTGACACCAGTCACTGCGGTCGGTCATCGTGGTACAACTGCCTGATCTTCCCCGGCAACACGCGGGATCCGGCTCGGAGAACAAACCGCACCCACACAAGCTGGATCGGGCCAGAGGAACCCGGGACTACACCGCTTGAACCGCGATAGTTATCGCAGAACATCACGGTTTGCCACGGTAGAGCCGAATATAGTCAATAACTTCTCGTTTTGTGGTTCACTTCTTGGCGACTCCCCGATCAACGGTTCGGTCAAACAGAATCCAGAGAAGCCCCAAATGTTTCTTCTGTCAGGCCCCGGCTGCCTCTGAGGTCCTTCACGAAAGTTCCACGCGCTGAGAGTACGCCCAAAGCCCTCAGATAGCCCGGTGAGCACGCGTGGGTCGTTCGAAGCGAGACTTGGTTCCTACGGCCAACGAGCAATCATCTTTCCGACACAGGTCACTCACATACCTTATCAAGTCCAGTTCTCAGTGCTGTTTATCATCCATGCACGGTTAACGTTTTTCCCTCGCCGCAGAATCGTCGACGAGTGCGATTTGATAGGATGGACCGATTTTAGCCGCTGCGATCCCCGGGTGACCGCGACGTTTCCATCCACCGCTACGAAGAAGCCTCGGTTCATCGGTACGAGCGCGGTTCCACCGGCGGTCGAATCGAAACTCAGCCCATATATAAATATTATTTAAATTTTTTATTGTTGAAATTAATACCTCAAAATAATAATAAAAATAATATTGATTACATAGTTTTATCATAATATTAAAAAACTTAAACTATCAACAATCTTCTTTGTGATGCTCTTGTGCTTCAGTTATTGGCCAATGGATTATTTCATCATAGAATGGCATTTTATCAGCAGGTATATGACAAAGAAGACTTTTAATATTATTCATTTTTTTATTTATGATGATCAGAAAATCTGGATAAATCTGACGAGATATTGCAAGAGAAAAATATTCGCTGATAAAGTTGTCGATGTAAGGATGAACGAGCGGATACCAGGTTTGAACGAATCATAAATGAAATGAAAATAATCGGATATTTTAAATGTAATTTTTTATGCTTTTAATACGTTTTTTCCATGGATTTTTATTAAAAGAACATTTTTCTTGTAAAAATCTGGCCACCAATTGTTATAATCAATAATATATTTTGTTTTGACTTTTTCAACTGAAAACTTATGAGTGTTTGATAATTGCTGAATGAGCTCAATAAAATCGTCGTGTGCGTATATTCGGTCTTGTTTCCTTACTTTAAGCTTGAGGTTTGACTATGCCAAAATCTCTATCACAAGTGACCTCTTATTGGAAAAATATGTTCTATTTTTTATTTTATTTTTTTTTTGAAACGTCTGCTAAGATGCCTGTGCTATAAGAAAACGAACAATTGTATGATTACGGTTTTAACCCAAACATCCATCTGAGAAAATAAATAACTCATCGACAGTTTCATGAATATATTTGTCAATATACATTTTTAAAAATGTGCATAGTTCATTTGGTCCCTTATATGTCTTTCGCAAAATGTTAAACTTAGCGATGCAAATAATATGTTTAAAAGCTTTAACATAAATATTCAACTCTTTTGCAACAACAGCAAAAACACAAGAGGAACATAAAATTCATCTTTATATCTTTATAGTAGCCATAAATCATAAAAATTGGAGTAAAGTATTTAGGACAGCTATAAAACGTCCCGTCAATATTTATATTTTTACATCGCACAAGACATCTAAATTAATTTTCGTTGAAAACCCTACCATCGAATTTTCGAAATCATTTAAAAACATTTAAAAGTTTTCATCATTATTTGTTATAAAATTCATAGATTTTAATGCATTTTGAGTCACGTATGTACTTTTAGATAATTTAGGATGAAGCAGTGAATGAACACGGTGAATGTTTTGTTTAATTAAAATAACATCGTTTGTTATGAGAGATGAAATGTCACCTTTTTTAAGCTTATTATGTAAAATTTTTGATGACCGGGCAGAAATATCACCCGCAGTTTAACAACTATCTAGTAAGTAGTTTTTCGTCACATTCATCATGATTTTGTTCATTGCAGATGTCTAACATAATAATATCAGAAGTTAGTTAAAAAAAAAAAAAAACTCTTACACGAGTTTTTACTACATGTCTACCGTTGAACCTCACCTTGCAACATTTTATGAAATCAAAACTTAAAACCTTTAATAATTCTTGTTTTTCACTTAACATTGTAATAACACAAAAATAAGAGAAATTAAAATTAAAATGTAAAACTTATCAAAAATTATTATAAAAGGGTATATGTTAAGAGTATGACGTGGCCAGACTGACACTAGGGACACAAGCCTTGTATGTAAGTCCAGTACTAATAAATATTGAATGTACTTGTTCTTGCGTTATTACCTTCCTCCTGTTCTTCGGAGGGTTCTCGAGATCGTGATTCGAGAATATGATCAAATACCCCGTATGTAAATTAAATAGTAAAATATTTCGTACTGACAATAAGTATGTAGGGCATGCACCTTACCTGGTTCGCCG